CCCTCCCCCCACTGGGAGCACCAGCCCAAGGATCTCCTTGGGACAAGGAGAGGTTGCTTCTTCTGCTGGAGTGATCATCTCCGCCATGCAGCACAGTATCTCTGACTAGAGATGCTGCTGCCTGGTGGAGTTTTACCCATTTTTTCTTTTCCTTCAGCACTGTGACTAGAGTTTACTGGCTTGCTTCTCTGCCCATTTGCTTGCTCAGGAGCCCAAAGCCAGTGCATGCTGTGCCGGCCCCCCCGACCCCTCTCCAAAGGGCCGCTCACTCTGCACAGCCCAGCGCCAGGAACGGTCATCGCAGGTGAGCTACCCATGGGAGCAATCCCCTGCCCAGACTCTCTGCTCTCTGCTGCTGCTTCTGGGCTTCTTGTTACACTTGTAACCCAACACCTGACCGCTTCTGGAACAGCCACAGAGTTTTTGGTACACTTTGCCACCCCAAGTGTGCCGTTCCAGCCGCCACTGCAAGGTTCCTGTCCCATCCCGTTTCGTCTCTGGAGGGGCCCGGGCCCGGCTGCCCCTGCGGGTTTGCAAAGGAAGCCCCTTTTCCCTGCTGCCATCCCCCAGGCGCAGAGCAGCGGCTGAGCTGCAGCACAGCGCCCCCTGCAGGCGTGGAGGAACCATTGCCCCTGGCCAGCCAGGAGCCAGCAGCACCCCTGCCGGCCGTGCCCAGAACTGCACCCAGGGGAAAGGGCTCCACAGCCCAGAGAGGTGGCACTGGCTCTCTGCTTCTGCTCCTTGTTGCTGCTGCTGTTGGTATTTTGCCTTGTTATATGTACATACACTAGTAAGGAAATGTTATTCCTTTTCCCATATCTTTGCCTGAGAGCCCCTTAATTTCTAAGTTAAATAATTCAGAGGGAAGGGGATAATATTTTCCGTTCAAAAGGAGGTTCATGCCTTCCTTGGCAGACACCTTTCAAACCAAGACACTTCCCTACACTCAGCAGGCTTCCACCAGCAGCAGAATTCACCCAGCTCTACTCTAGGATGTCACTTTGCAATGTGCAGTCACCAGAAATCCTACAGAAAATCCAGAAATGTTACAGATGACAGTTGAGGGAATTATAACCTTGTTGCATCTCCTTCCTTTCATCTCTCCACGTGCATTTATGAGGAATAGGGTTGTGAAACCCAGATAAGCTGAAGCAGAATAAGAAGTTGGAAATGGGAGAAGCCAAACATCATTACAACAGCAGCACTGAGATATTTTAGTAACACAAGACTCTCAGTTGTGATTTAATTTGATTTGAGTTTCCATTGTTCAGGTTTATTCGTAGCTGGCCACATGGGTCTCTCCTCTCCCATGTGTGTAGAGAAGCAAAACGCTCAGGCAGGGTGCAGAAGGGCAGCACTTGGAAAAATCTGTCCTCAGTCCTCACAGGGGCTTGTCTGTGGGTAGCTGGCTTCTAGGAGAACAGGATCAGGCCAGCAGCACAACCAGCCTCACCTCTGCATACACCAGAGAGAAGGGTATGGGAAGCCCTGGAGAGAAGTGTGGAAATATGTGCCCTCTGCTACAGTGCTCCAGGAGCTCTGCACAAGTGTGGGCTGGTCCCTTTGCTTAGAATCAGCAAGGGGGAAATAACATCCTTCCACCACGGAAGGAGGGAGCTCTGCAATGTTCTAGTACCCTGTCAGAGTTTTTCTATTTGTGACATGGAAGCTCTACAAACAGGAAAGGTAAAATTTGTAGAGTCAAGAGTCTGGACTTGTTCCTTTTTTCATTTGAGCTGGCCTTCACCAACATCAGTGGAATCACTCCAAGTTCACAATGCATTAGTGGGAAGGAAAATCAGTGTTTAAAATCTAGTTATACACTAATTTGTGCTTGTTTCCATAAACGGCTTGTACTTGACAATCCTGTGGGTGTCATTTATGCATTACCAAATTATGCAGTAAATTGGTTAGTGCATTTTTTGTTTTGTTTCTTTCTAAACAAAGCATAAAATATAACACTCTGCTGTCTGAAACCACCTACAAGGAAACTTGATTGTCAGAGCTGTCTCTTCTATATAGATTTCATATCTTTGGATCAGAATCACAGGTCACGAGATCTAAATATACTGCTTTTGAGGGCAAGCCAATTTCCTATGCCAAAAATGAGGGTTCTGAATGCATGCACGTGGGACCTTTGTTATACTACAATGTTATGGCATTACACTCTGAAAACCAGCTTCTAGTTACCTGAAGAGTCCTTTGCAAAGAGCTGTTAGTAATTTCTTCAGTTGAGGAAGATTGCTTGAGCCAGTCTGCACGATCTCAAAGTCACTGATGATGTGAACTCGCAGGTAATCCTGGATGAGTTTAAGATGCTCATCAGAGACACTGTGAAGGAAACACACAGGTCAAAAGCCAGCTCTTCTCTCTACTCCCAAATATCAAACAGCTTTCTTGTTTTTCTCAAATTCCCACTGTTTAGACACATGGCTAATAAATGAACTTCTCTCAGATATTACTCATCCTTTATATCAGAAAAATATACCTCAGTGGAGAAAGTATATGGGTTATTTTAATAATTCAGAAATGTATCTTTTCTGGACAACAGATGGACTGTAAAGAGCAGTCAATGCACTGCTGATCTGATTCTGTTCTTTATTTGGTAGTATTAACGAGGAGTAATTTTGTTGAATCAAACAGGTCTTCAGCTGTCCCAAATACCAAGGCCCAGCAAGCTCAGAACTGGGCTGAAGCTCAGCAGCCCTGTCACTTGCCCTTCCTTACCTGCTTGTGTCCTGGTACTGCAGTCGCTGGAGCAGTGTCTCAGAAAGGGACAGTTTATTCACATCTGCCACCCGGGAGTTTTCAGGGAGAGGAGAGACCTCTTTTGTCTCACTGCTTGGCAGTGCCATGAGGATGTTGCGTGGGGGCAGGACAGGAGGTGTGGGTACCAGGTCTAGCAAGAAGGAAAGGAAAGGCACAGTCATTCCAGCACAAAAATTGGACCTCTTGTCCCTCACACCAGGCAGGGCAGAGCCCACCCTGCCAGGGCAGTCCTTTCAGAAGCCATCTCTTCTGGCTGGTCTGTGGAGAGATGTCAGAGCTGGGAAGCTCAGGACTCAGCACTGGCCCCGCTGTTTTTCCAGGGATGGCTGTGGTGTGAGAGCAGCAGGATGAAGTGCCAGGCTTGGACCTCACATGCAGGCAGCACATGCCTCTGTCTCTGCCTGCAGTGAACTCCACCCCAGCCAGTTTTAACTCTCCCATCTGCACAGCAGCTGTGAAGGTTAATTAGTTAAGTTGAATATAACGCTTAGAGAACACAGCTGTACCTCACCCATTTCATTCCAATTATCATGGGGATCTGCTGCTCAGGCAGAATGGATGGAGGAACATGATGGAAAGAGCACCAGAAGCTGCCAATGGAAAGAAGTGAACAGCTGAAGTAAGCAAACAGAGATGGAGAAAATAGACCCCGTGACCCAGTGCATAGGGGCTGAATATTCTGCCTTGTCTTGTGGGCATTGAGTTGGAAGGAAAAAGGATTTTCCTGCTGTGTCATCCTGCTGTTCAGCATATCTCCCTCTTCTGGGAGAAGAATGGGTTCATCTCCACTGATCCCAACCATGGTTAACTTTATTTTCATACCAATTGCTCCAATACTTTGTTATACATGTTGTACTGAAGCTGGTTGAGTTGTGAGGTTTCATTTGGTTATTTCCTAATGGTGGAATTTGCATTACAAAAACACCCCCAGGACTGACCCACTGCTTCTGGGCTGCTGCTGTGATTCGGAGCCACTGAGTCACGTGTGGTTAATCTGCAGGGTGCTCATCTTCCACCTCTGCAGTTTCACATCTAAGATGACCAGACATCTGTAGGCTCTACATGGCTCCACCATGATGGCACAAAGTGCCTTAACAAAACTAAATTGTGTATATGAGCAGCCCAGACCCAGTACTAATCTCTCTTCATCTGAAGGCTCTTAGTCTTGGCTAGAACTTCATTCCCTGCTGCTTGCCTCTCTCTATATTATTTTTGCTGTAGTTCCCTCCCTGGCCCTGGGAGCTGGAGACTAAGTACAACTGGCCAAAATCCAGGAACATCTTTCCTGAGCAGCTTTGCAAAATTTTGTTCTATTTCTTCCAGAAAATTGCATTTCAAAATCTTCCAGCTCCTGTTAGATATGCAGTAGGTTCCATCAAAGGGTTACACAGACACTGGGTTGCACAGGCACATCAATCTGCCCTAGTTCACAGGGCCTGTCGATCTGTCCCAGGGACTGTGTCCTTCAGACTTGTTTGACTGCAGTGCTCATCATTTCCAGACAGACATCAGACAGGACAGGAAGGATGGCTCTGTGGACATGACCTTCCTCTGGGAGAACTATGACAGATCCAAGGGGTGATTCAGGAAAAATCCAAGGAATGATTCAAGACCAGTAAGTGCCTGGGATGCACAGTGGCATTTGATATAAAATAGTAGGGATGATGCCAATCACACCTCTTCATCATACACCTGCTTCTGTACATGGAGTTAGACTGTCTGCCAGTGCCAGAGCTGTGCCCTCTGCTTAGGACTGTCAAAAATGTCCCCTAGAGCAGAGCAGCTGAGGGGTTTCAGATGCCCCTCAGCAGCTGTAGGTGCGTGGCACAGCACAGAGATATGCTCCAAGCCCCAAGGGAGCACCTCTGTTTTGAGAGAGGCCCTACAGATGTAGGACAAGGAGAGGGTGCAGAGGTTTGGAAGACGGCTGGACATAAACAGGGGAGTCCAGATAAGGACACCCAACTAACCACCCCCACAGCAGATGCAGTATACTTCCACAGAGGGTCTCAATGCGTTCCCTCAGGTGAGCTAAACTGATGCTCCAGGTGTGTGTACCATAGGACACACATGAGGGTTCACTGCTGCAGGGCCTTGCCAGCTCAGGCCTCTCTATGCTCTGCTCTATTTTATGGCACAACATGTTCTAATCTCCTGCCTGCACTGCATATCTCCAGTCAAGAGGTATGAGTCAAGGGTCTGCATAAGCAAGTCACATCATGGGTTTCTTACCAGTGTCCTCCTCCAGTTCATCAGCAGCCTCCTCCTCTTCCCGTGGCACTGGATATTTGAGGTGCCATACCAAACCCATGTTCTCCTTCTTGTAATACTCTATCAGTTCCTCCAGGTTCTGAAAGTACTTCACAGGGACGCCCTCTGATGCCTGAAACAAAACACAGAGGCAGTCATAGCATGGGATTTCCTACCACACAAACATTGCCCCTTGCAGAAGGAAAAACAAAGTCATAGGGAGAGGAAAAAGCCACTGCTGCTGCCCAGAAGAGAAGCTGCCCTGTTCTTGCTGCCCATCTGACCACAGACTGTGCAGAACAAACAGAAGCAGTTTATACGTTCCAGCCAGAGTCAGCACAGATGCCAACCTCAAAGACTCACTGCAGCCAAATGGAAGAGCTCTCTCACTGGTTTCAGGGTGATTGGTTTCACTGCAAAGGAAGATTTTAAAAACAAGTAATTCTCCCAGATTAATCTTTGTATTCTCTCTTCTACTGAGCACAAAGCCACTAGACTGTGTTATATTTTGTGGTATCCAGGAAGAATTTTTCTGTGAAATTGCAAGGTAAACATGGCTAAATCCAGACATTAGCATCCCTTCCAGGATTCAAAGGCTCAGAACTGTGTTCAAATGAAACAAGGTGCCGCCCCACACAGAAATGTTGGGATGGAGGTTTAGAGAGCAGCAAGGACTGCAAATGCGCCTGGCATGACACTGTATGTGCCAGCTGAATTCTGTGACCAAACCTGTCTCGAGCACACCCTGGCCACTAATCTCAGCAAATGGTTACCCACAGGGGCCAAACACAGGGATAAGGTTTTGGAGGTGTTCAGAGCCAAAGCTTCAGTGTAATTATATCCACACATTGGCACAAACAGTGACTCTGCCAGCAGGAACAGCTGCTATCCCTGCAGCTCTGCTCCAGTGCTTCAACCACAGACCCTACCAAAGACAGACACAGTCTCTCATGGCTCAGCACAGACCTTCTGAGTAAGGGAAAGAGCCCTGCATCACCTCCCAAACTGCGATGAAGTGTCATCCAATCCCAAGGCTACAGCAACACACAGCCAAAGCTCTGATCCCTCTCTTTGGGGCACCCTCTTCCTGGCAGGGTGCTCCTTCTGGACAAAAGGTTTTCCCACAGAAACCAATCCAAGAAGGCCCTGTCTATCTGTATATCTGCCATAAAAGATCAAGAAGTGGAATGGTGGAGAGCAATTGTCTTCCATCCCCACGAGGCTGTTGTTCTTGACTTAAAAGAGCAACACTGGGAACTGTTCACAGCTGGGCAATCTGAAGGAAGACCTGATCACCCCAATGGCAGGCTTGACTGGCATTGTTATGCATGCATAAAACTAGATTTTGCAGGGGAAACATGGTTAATTAGTGAGGAATTAAAGCTGTGCCTCCAATTTGACATAACTTGTTACACAGACATTCTGCCTCTGACTAACAGGCAGGGTATTTGAATTTATTTTGGGTTTGCAGTGATTGCCTGTAAAAAGTAACACACAAAGTTTCAATACATGTTTGAACAAGCTCATTTACTTGCCATTCATCTTTGCTCAGTTTCTTATTCTCTATGAACTTTTTTGCTTGAAAGGCCAATGTAGAAAATCAAAGAAATTAAACAAGTGAGATGTGAGCAAAAACCACAGCAGAGCACAGGAAAATGTCTTCAGTGAGTCCTAGCAGCAACAAGATTTCTTTTTAACTTTTCCTAAAGAGTAAAATCTCAGGCCAGAAATTAGGACAGTGCTTTCAAAAGTGAAGGGCATTTGAAGTCATCAGTGCCCTCAGGCTTGCCATTAAAAATACCTTTCATTTTTAGCTACACCTGTATGTCTTTAAAGGCTCTGCAAGGCACATTTTCACAACAAACAGGGGTGATATTTCTGAGAGCTCTGCCTGTACAGCCTCCTTTTCTGTCTTCCACATAACTGCTCCTGCATTTAACAAGATTTATTATCCTCATACACTGGAAAACATCATATTCAGCATGAAGGCAATACTTGCACAAACACTGGATTATATTTTTGTGAGGCCAGAGATGTTGAAACAAATCATTGGTTAAAACTTCTGAAGATTCTACCCAGTGTAGGCCAAACCCTGCTCTGCTAGAGCAGCCTGGACTCTGCACATTCGGAATGACTTCTCATTTACACCAATTAATGGGACCTCCCAGACTCTTCTGCTTCTTGGTGCCAAGTGCAAAGTTTGGGAATCAGGGAAAACTGTCAAGGAAAAATCAGCTCTAATCCATCGTATGAAAGGATCCTGAAGTCACAGTGCTGCACTGGAATAGACCAAGAATAGTTAAGCCAGTCTTCCATGCTCTCTGTTCATTTTCTATGCAGTACCTTCTTCTGCTCTGAAATCCCTGTTTTTGTGATTATTCATTGACCAGCACCCCCACAGCAGCCCAGAGGGCACAGTCAGCAGCTCTGGTGGTGGGATGGCAGCACACTCAGCCTCCGTGCCCTGCCCATGGCAGCATCACCCACACTTAACCCTCTGGATTACCCTGCCTGGGCTGCCTTCTGCCCACCTGCAGCCCCCATAGATAGGCTGGAGCTCATAAGGCACAAGGCTTGGGGTGGCTTGCTTTGCCCAAGGCTACCCCAAAGGGCACCTGGGAAAAGGCATCAGCCCCACCAGAGCACACACACGGACCCCAAAAAACACCAAGGACAAACTGGATCAGGGTTTGCCATGTGCATCCCTGTAGGAGGAAAGCTTTGCTGTCAGTGCTCTCTCTACCTCTTGAATTACTGTAGCCTGCTCCGCTCCTCTTTCCAACTTCTCCCTCACTTTCCTTTGCTACTTTACCACCTGCCTGCTTCCCCAGATCTCCCCAGACTGTGCCTGAAGGCCCCTGTCCCTGCACAGAATCCCTGCCACCCTCACTGCCCAAACACTGTCTTCTCACCCTTATTCTACCCCTCAGCTCCTGCTCTCCCAATGTGCCTGCAGGAAGACAAACTGCCATGAAAGGCTCTTTTCAGGCCAGAGGCTCGATAGAAGTGGTAGGAAAGGCTGAATTAGCACTTTTTGCTGCCAAGGATAGTTCAGTCTCTGAAACTGTCCTGGTCTCTGTGGTAAGCAGAAGGAGTATTTTGCAACAGGCCTCCTTCCTCTAACTCTCTGCACAGTCCAAAGCCTGTGTTCCAGCTCAAATTCCCCGGCATGGCCATCAGCCCCAGCTCTCATGCAGCCTGGCTGGGTGCACACATGAGCACAGAGGCTCTGCTGTTATGCACCCCTTCTACTCTGTTAACTTGGCCCACTGCACCCAGCCACCTTTTGTGATAAAGCCCCCCTTCTCCTCCCTCAAGGATAATTGGAATTTATGACCATGTCAAGGAGCTGGGCTTTGTATCTGAATCCAGATGCTCATTCCCAAAGAGAAGCAGCCTCCATCTCAGCAGTGCCAGCTCCTCTGACAGCCCATCTTTCCCAAGTCCAGTCAGGAGAAAAAGGACCAACTCCCCATGGCACACAGTAAAATAAAGAACAGCATTTCATATTTTAGGACAGAATTCAGCAAAGAACTGAATATGTGTCCTGAGCAGCTGCACAGAGATAGTGAGAGCTGAAACAAGAAAATGGGGAACCAGCAGGGTTGGGAGCTCCAACCAGCCATGGCCAAGCACAGAGGAAAGGATGGGCAGCCTCAGACCTGCTCAGCATATGCTCGTAGTGGGGGAGTTTTAGGGTCCTTCCCCACACCACAAAAGGCAGTGGCACCACCTTGCTACACATCAGCTCAGCTATCATGAAAGTCTGAAAGCAAAATCACTGGATTATTCTCATTTATTTTCTTTTGTATTATAATTGTTATTATTTTCAAGGATCTCAAGAGAGGAAACATGGGAAGGGCTGCACCCCTCCAACACACAGCTGTGCCCAGCAGCCCTCTCCGCTTTTTGCCTGAACTATGAAATAAGCTCCTCCCAGATCACACATCACCCCGAACATCCACACTCCCCACAAGAGAGCAGGACACCGTGCTTTGCACAGAGGCATAGCAAACACTGTACATTGTTTGAAATGGGAGAGAGAACAGTAAAAACAAGATATTATTATTATTATTATTATTATGCATGACAGACAACAGTCAGGTTGTTTGGAACACAGGTGCAAGGTACTCAGATACTGCCTGCGCTGCATGAGCCACTCCACATCCAACAGCTCAGCATTTTGCTCCCAGCCACAGAGCAATAGGACCATGGCCAAGGCTGTGGTGTGTTTCCAGCCAGCACTGCCTGGGACTGCAGGGATGATGCCTGAGCAGCATCAGCTGAACACTGAAAGTCTGGTTCAGTAATGCTGCTGTGAGTGCACAGGCTGCCGGATGACCCCCCTGAGGGTTGATCTCTGCCAGCAAGTGAGGAAAGCAGCCCAAATCTGGGACATCTGCTAGGACATCTGCTTTCTTCCCACTTGAACTTGTGGCATTGGTTTATAGGTGGGGAAAGAAAAGTGGTGGTGGATAATAAAGCACTGGTATTGAGTCAGGTTGTAGATGTTTGCAGAGCACATTACCAAAAACTGGACTGACGGTAAACTCTTAATAAACATCCTCCAGACAACTGCTCTGGATGACAGGAGTGAGGCAAAGTGCAGCCTAAACTTTACATAAGCTTGTCCTGGATTTTGAGACAGGAAACAGAGGCAGAACAGGGCACTGTGAACAAACCAGAGCAGGACGGGGTAGCACAGAGCATGCTGGAGCCACCCCAGCAGAGCCAACAATGAAATCCACTTCCCGCCCCCCTGCCTGCATTTAGTAAGTAACTGTTTCCTCAGGATTATCACAGGATAGATCTTGTTTTAATTGCACAGAGAATTGTTTCAAGTCATTATAAACGTGGATGGCAAGTGTCATCTCCATGGCAACACACCACATCCCCAGAAATGTGCTCACAGGGCTCATGGGACACCAGAGAGGTGTGGATGGCAGGCTCTCCTTCCGTGGGGATTTTTCCATCATCCCCACTGGTACCTCGGCTTTGTGCTGATGGCAGCCACAACAAATGGAAAGGAAACACCTAGTGAACATATGCAATTTAGGGAACAGCCCACAAAACAGCAGAGTTGTACACAGGAATTTGGAGAACAATGAATCAGAGACTGAGCAGCAATTTTAT